GAGAACTGAAACTATATGTATTTAATAGGGTGCACCCAAAAGACACAAAAAAAAAAAAAATCAAGCATGAAAAATGATGTTTTTCATCGCATCCATGCATAGTTTCATTTATTATTTTGTTTTGTCTTGTGGTATAGGTAAATAAAGCAATACTCGAAGGACATGTAGAGGTGTTGAGGATACGAGTCGTAAGCTATAGAGTTTGTCAAATCATCTACAATAGGTCTAGGTTTAAAGTTTAAAGGTTAAACTATTGTTAGGTTTCGACCACTTTTCGTAGTTGCTTAGACATAACCATTTTAAATTGTAAATGATAAACTTTAGGTCATATTGAATATATTTATAGATATATTGATGGGATTAAAGAAAAATGAAACGTTTAAGTTTATTTTGAATGTGTCGATGAATTTACCTATTTAGAGATTTTAAGTTTATGTTTCAATTATGAATATAAATGGAAGATTTTATGATATGTATCAAGTTGCAAACAATTTGTTAGTACTAAATGCCAAATTTAGGAAGCCTTAAACTTTAAACCGAATAAGAAAATTCCATCGTGCAATATATAGAGCTCTAGTGGTCAAGGACACAATGCACCGACTTGCACTCTCGGGGTATGAGACAGGTGCATATAGCACTCTCGCCTCCTTGTTGGACCGTGGACGTTACATTCTTAGAGACTACATAATATCAGCATCATTCCATGTAGTGGAGTTTCTACCTTATCATGATGAAAAAAGAAAAATCAAGATGTGAAGGACGACATCCTTTCAACTTGAAGAACCCGGCACAAGAGTATATGCCCTAGATAATGGAGTCGAAAGTCCAAGCCTAATTAGACTTAAAGATGTTGATGGCTTGAATGTTCCTTGAGGCCGAGACATTCAAGACCTTGTTGGTTGAAATTATTTAACCTTATTTATCTTACTTGTGCTTTAGTTTTACTTAATTGTTTACATCCTCGTTGTTTAAGGATTCTTTTGTTGTTTGGGTTTTGTTCTAAGTCCTTGTATGTTTTAGATTTGGGTTACTTAATTCGTTCTCATTGGATATGTATTGTAATTTTATTTAGGATCCGCTGAATATAGGCCTAGAGTTGGTAAGGTTTGGAATTCATATTTTTTATGGATCCATATTTGTTTAAGAGTATAATTACTAAAGGTTCATATTTAATTAGGAGTCTATATTTATTTTCAACTAGAGTTAATGTATTATTGTTTAATATGAAGAAAAGTGGGGACTGAATTTTTGAGGATACTCGTTACATTTTTGTGTGCCCTAAGAGCTTAGTATTTAAACATTCTTGTCTAATATGAAAAAGACTCTTATGTTGATTTAAAAATAAAAATTGTGTGAGAAAAGTTTTCTCTTTTTTTGCTATTTTCTTGTGTTTTGTTTAGTATCGTTACAATTGTATCCTTGCACCGATCAATCAAAGTGGTGATTTTGATTATTTTCACAACCTTGTGCTTGCTTAGGTTTATGTACATATCTCTTTATATCGGAGTTGTATTGGAGTTGTGGACTTTACCATAATTGACGAAGGATTTCTTGAATTAATCAAGTAAGATTATTTTTTACTTTAACATAGATTGACGTTACTTACTTAATTTAATTGATTGTGATTTTTGAGTTTGTGTAAGTTGATTATAAGTTACTTGGTAATTTCAACAACCTTGAATTTTGTGGATTAAGGTTTTGACCTAGTCGTATAATTTAGGATTTGATTGTTTTTGTATAGATTTGAGTTGGTGGTGTGTTTGGAATACTCTGATTTGTTATTGTTTGAGCTTGAATTATCCCGAACTATTGCTTGTTGACATCACTGCTCATTTTCCTCACTACAACTATAACCTGTATCATTTTACATCATTGGAATCTTTGGTTTTGTTATCTATAGTGAAAAATGAATTTTTGCCCTCATTTGTAACTGTGCAAATCAATATATTGTTTAGTATGCTATGACCCAGAAGAGCAGAGAAACCCATGAAAGAGATTCTTACACTGTCTAATATTACGAGATAACAAGGCCCAAGCCAAAATTGTCCACTTCTCGCCAATTCTATCCCTCTATTAATTTCCGCCTCAGTTTCCCTCCGATAAACATGTCCCATGTGGTATGCCACATCTGCCTGTGTGCAACTAATTTGTCATCTAACCTTTTTCCTGTCACATATTCCTATTTAATGCAACCAAAATTAGGTGAATAGCCGGAGGATCAAATACTTCAACTTCACTCAATTATTTATTAATAAGGAGTGCAAATCAGCAATTAGGTTCCGAGTTGTTAGATTCTGGCAATTGAATTGGATATTATTCCATGGTCCAGAGTCCAGACTGATTCTTGCATTTGGTGCAATATTAATTAGAAACGAGAAGAGGCCCTATGTTGCAACTCCGTTGTCTGTAATTCAAACAAGAGAACACACCTTTTTTGTCCCCATCATATCACTAGATTTGGGGGATGCATTTTGATAAAATTGATTAGTCTAGGATGAAATTGACAAAATGATAATATTTTAGAGATTATAATTATATAGAGTAATATAAAACTATTTCTAAAGATTCATCTATTAAACTTTTGAATTGAAATGATTTTTTTACATAGTATCAAAATTTTGATGATCAAACGATCATAAATTCAAATCTCATTATTCTTATTTTTTTCTTTTAATTAAGTAATTACATATAAGATAGTGTAAGTTTCAAGTCCAATAACGATATATTAGAGATTAACATAAAATTATTTTTAAATCCTCTCTTAATATTTTAAGATTTTGGATTGAGTCGATAGTAGCAAATTTCAAATCCAAATGACAATGCAATAAATATTAATATAAAATTATTCTTTAAACTTTATCTAATAGTTCAAATTTTTTGATTGAAATAATTTTGTTTTTACATAATATCAAAATCTAGTTGTTTTTCCTTAGAACCAAGTGCTGTAGCTTTCACTTTTAAACAGTAGGCAGACAAACGTTAGCAATTTGGTGGGAGCATATAAGCTTTCTAGTCCCCAACACCCCACCCCCACACAAAACACAAGCAAGAATTGAAATGGGCCAAGCCCATGAACAAAGAGAATTAAACTCCCATCACTGGGCCCAGCCCACTACTGGATTCCAATCCAAGACATTAGAATTGGGGAAACGTTCTACTCCGTATTTAAGAAGATGCAATCCATAAATGAAGGTGAGGAATTCCACTTTTTAAAGAAAAATAAGAAAAAGAAAAGAAGTATCCCTAGTCACTGAACAAATTGGCATACAGAAGGCAGAAAACTTTGAATCTAGGATTTTTCTTCCCCTTTTGAGAACAAGGTAGTTGACAATTAATTACGAATACAACATTTAAGCTGTGACAACTAACCCCACCGATACCTTTGCTTTAAACCCACAAAATTTGTATCTAATCAGCACCCTTGGCTTCAGTGTTCAGTAACGTAAAATCTTCCCAGACCCAGTACTCTCTTTCCAGCTGAGCCTCTAAAGGATGAGGACCCTAACCCTATTGTCACCTTCTGATCCTAGTATTATTGAGCTGCTTATTAGCCGACTCACAGCTAGATAAAATTTATCCACCATAAATGAAAGACCATTACTATATTTCTACTATTCAAGGTATTCTTGTATTGATTCTTCAATGTGGATCTTTCACCAAAAGCAATATGCAGATGTCCTTGTGATCTACAATGCCTCTGTACATGACGGCAGCACAAAATTCATAATTGCCACATGCTGTGACAAAAGTGCAACATGAGAGATAGGATAATCCAAGAGTAATCTAACAGGGATTGGTACTGCTTATTGAGAAGGAAGTGAAAATGACAAAAAGGGTTTCACATCAAAAACTAAAGCGACACAAAGCGAAAGGTTTAGAGTTTTAAAAAAGACATTCTAGGCACCACAGCAGGGAGAATTGACATTCTATCATTATACTGCTAGTACCATTTGCTTAATCTGCACAACAAGAGAGAAAAAGAGAGAGAAAAGGAGACATTTGCAGTGATATTAAGCAGTACTAAATCAACAGAAGCAACACAAAACAAGCACATAAGTGGTTTGATAAAAAAAGGGCCATCAAGATGATTATTACAATAATGATAGTAATGCAGATCACAAGCAAAAGGATTCTCAGTGCTCTGTATCGCTCTGACTAAAAACAAGATTGTGGCTTATGATCAAATTTCGAAGTAAGCCAATGAAGGAAATGGTTGGAAGCCTTTGCAATAAAGAACACAAAGAACTCGTTTTCGGAATACATGTATATGGCGCATATGCAACCAAGTCATGTTGACGTCTAGAATATTTGGTTTCGAAAGGATTTTTGTTTCCATTTATGCACAATGAGGCGAACAGTATTGAAGACATGCCTCTGCTATAGAAATGTAGGAATCTGGTATGATGCTATAGAGAAATACAAAGAAATCATTCCAGTTTCATAACCTTAAATGCATCAAACAACATAAACGGATAGAAAAAAGATTACAAATCTAGTGTAGAAAACAAAACCCTCTTCTACAGACCTTCGAGATTAACCCAAAAACATGGCCTTCAACTATATTTTAAAAATAATAATAGCAATGTCAGCACTGATAAATAATAGTATTATCAAAGACCAGAGTAAAGCACATCCACTTTTACAATAATAAATCTAACCCATGATGACAAATTGTGGAACAATCCAGTTTAAAGAACCAAGTTTCCACAGAACTGATCAATCAAATTCAGATAATCTTAAAAAATAGATATTGATTACAACATCATCATAAGAAATTGCAGAGGAATCAATAGATTAATTTAAGCCTTTTACGGGCAGCAAAATAAAGAAACAGGAATCAATTATACAACTTAAAACTAGTCCCACATCAGGAATTTATCACAACAACACATCAATCTATAAACTTTCTGGGACAAAATTTTACACTATCAACCGACATTAAATACAAACACAGAAAATTAGGCAACGAAGTAAAAGAAAAGAGAGCAATACCCATCAAATCACCACCATCCATACATCACTTGTGTGTACCTATCTTTAAGCCACCTGAAGCTCTTCCTGAAAGTCCCTTTCACTTTGCCTTCAACACTATACATTTTATAGCTAGCAACCCTCTTCTTCCTTTGAAACTCAGGGTCATCAAAACTCCAAGACTTTGAAGAAGATGACCCAGAATTGCCCTTTCCTTTCTTAAGCTTAAAGTCCCTGTGGTTGCCGAAATTGTTGGTGTTATAGTTGCTGTTAGCCATCTGAGTCTGTGCATAGGAAGTACTATAGGACCTGAGCTCATAAGAGGAAGTTGGTGGCCTTTGTGGACCATGATAACTCTCCATCTGCATCATATCATTCCCATGAGAGTAAGAATATGATCTTGATCTGTTGTAATCTTCCATAGGAATATGATATAGATGTGAGGCAGAGAGGCAGAGACTGAACGAAGGTAGGAAAAGTTTGCTTTTGTTGGTTGAGCTTCTTGATCCTAACAGAGGACGAAAGAGTTGGAATAATGGAATGGTGGGGTCCAACACAGGTTGAATTAAGCTTTCTTGTTTTTTGTCCACATCCTTTTTCTTGCCCGTTTTTGCTGGGATTGACTTACTGGACATTTATTCGCCGAGTGAATTTACATGGCGTGTCTAATGGGCAATCATTGTGTCTAGGGAAGTTTTTAAATACTCGAGTTTTTATTGGTTTCTCTTTCTGCATCTTTGTATTTTGACCAGTCAGAATGAATAACACCATATTTCAGTATTCGCTGCAATCTACATTATTTATATATTTGTATTTGTATTACTAGTTTCTGTCTGTACGTAGAGAGATTCAAAAATTTTCTATTAGATATTTACTAATACTAATGTATACAAACTTGTTTGTAAGAAATTATCTTGACCATGGAGACCAATACACAACCATGTTTGAAAGTCAATTTTCGTAGAATTTGATGAAGTAGATTCACTAGACATATTTCTGAAAAGAGACGTTTGAATAAACTCTGAATAAGTCTCAGTATTTTCAGAAACATCTATCATCATACGACACAGTTGTTGTAATGTTGGTAGTGATAATGCTTTTATTGGTTTGAAACACTTTTTGTACGTTTCGCAACGGTCATGACACGGATTGAGAGTTCTCAGGCACCGTTTTCATTTCAGAAAGAGGATGCATACATGCGGCTGAAACAGGTCTTGCCTGCAGATTTTCAATTGCCACAAAAGCTGTAAGCTAAAAGTAAAACACACTACGTTGCATCCACCATGGAGAAACTAGCGGTACTTCCTAGGTCTACAAATAATGGCATGTTGCGTTCACAAGAAGTGCGTTTCCTGGTGGAGTAGCAGTCCTTATAATCCCTGAAGTTACCATGATAAAGTATGCTTGCGCTTATGCTAGCCGTTTCGTTTTGCAAACTGGACAATAGGCCAAGCCTTTTACCATAACACTAGTAAACTTCTCGTCCCTGCCCAAGATATCCATGTGCTGCATATCACGATCAATGATTATGTGCAGCATTATCCTTATCAACCCAAACTTGCCAATTAAAAATATGGATTTACATCTTCCTCAAGAAGTCTTCAACATATTTAACGTACCTAATCAGTAAACTCAACTCGGGTAGAAGAGCATATATATGCACACAACATAAAATTTCCATGCGCATGCCTGATAAAGAACATACACGTGCTCCCAAATATATCATCTGTCCAGAGCTTTAAAAAAGGGCCTAACAACGTTATTGTCACTTCATACATGCCAGCCCAGGAATTGCACAAGGGACAGAAATATCGTGGCAAGTATCATTCTTCGCAAATATCACTCTTAGTAGGATCACTCGTAGTAAAACAACGGGTAACACAAACTCAACTAATTGTGCCTACGCAGAACCAGTTGGACTGGACCATTCAAGGATCTGTTACCTCCATTTTGGTTTTTCTATGGGATGTGACATGCATACAGGTAAGAGGGAAGCAGAGCTTTCCAGTAAAATTACAAAGCAAAGGACCAAGAAACACAAATTAAATTGCTCAAAAAAGCAATAGATAGAGTCAAATATTCTAGCATAATAACTTGATCATATGTTTTAACCTACATAAAATTCACTCGCATAAAATTAAAGAAAAAAACACGCACAAAACAAAATATTATGACCGACGCTAGAATAATTCTGCAGATTTTACTGCAACACAAAAAGGAAAATGCAAAAACAAACTTGCAACAAAATTTAACACCATGGATTCTTCTGCACCCAGAGTGGGATTGGCCCCAGTTTGAAATGCACAGAACCAAATCTGTAGGATAGGCTCAGTCCAGGCTAAATAGAGGGCCCAAACCTACAATACGAGCATAATACTTTTAACTTCCAAACTCAGTCGTTTACCTTGGCAAACCAAAATTGCTTCAAAGAAGATCAGCAACATTTGATGGCAGCTCCTCAATTGTTACATTATAAAATCTCTGGATGTCAGAAAGCATTCTTTCATCATCCCTGGTAACAAAATTTATAGCAACACCCTTCCTTCCAAAACGTCCACTACGACCAATACGATGCAGATAGTTCTCTGGCTGTGTCGGCAGATCATAATTGATCACAAGTGAGACCTGCTGGACATCGATACCACGAGCCAGCAGATCAGTAGTGATAAGCACACGAGAAGAACCAGAGCGGAATTCCCGCATAATAATGTCCCTTGTGTTTTGGTCCATATCTCCATGGGTGGCAGAGACTGTGTGGTCACGACTGCGCATCTTGTCTGTAAGCCAATCTACCTTGCGCCTAGTGTTCACAAAGATAACACTTTGGGTTATAGCCAAGGTCTCATATAAATCACAAAGTGTCTCAAGCTTCCATTCCTCCTTGTCGACATTAACATAAAATTGCTTGATACCCTCAAGGGTAAGCTCATCACGCTTCACTAAAATCCTCACAGGCTTATTCATGAACTTCCTTGTAATTTCTAGAGCCTCAGGTGGCATAGTAGCAGAGAAAACCCCAACCTGAATCTTTGGTGGCAGCAACTGGAAAATATCATATATCTGTAAAATGAAGTTCAATTATTAGAACAAAAACTCAAAAGAAGCACATGCATACAACTTCAAACTGATAGCGAAATGCAAACAATAACAAAAAGTCTTAAGAACGAATGAATGTACAAGTTAAGGTAAAGGTAGGAACCTGATCCTTGAAACCTCGTGAGAGCATTTCATCTGCTTCATCTAATACAAACATCTTGATGTAATCAGGGCGAAGTGATTGTCTCCGCAACATGTCAAACACACGACCAGGAGTACCAACTACAACATGAACCCCAGCTGAGAGAATGCGCTGATCCTCACGAACACTAGTTCCACCAACACAAGCATGAACCTTGACACCCAGATAATCGCCCAGTGCTCTCATAACCTTCTCAATTTGCTGTGCTAGTTCTCGAGTAGGTGCAAGAACCAAAGCTTGGCATTCAACTACATCATAATCAAGCTGCTGCAAAATTCCAGAGCAAAAGGTAGCAGTTTTTCCAGTTCCTGATTGTGCTTGTTGGATTACATCAAGTCCCTTGCAGAATGGGACAATCCCCCTTTGCTGAATTGCAGATGGCTTCTCAAAACCTTCAAAACAAAATTGGATGACACCACGATATCTTTAATTTGCCACAGCGCAAACATGATTTCTAATCCATACGAGTGATTTCGGAGGACAAAGCAGTAGCTTTAAAATAAATGTTATTCATCATATGCAATAAAAGGAACTACAAAACAAAGTAAAAAGCCAATGGATGGGTTGAGTACGAGAAAATTCAACTCAGCCAACCATCTAAAATCTGAATTTGTTCAGGAATCATTGACGGATGCTGGAATAAACCCTTTAACCCAAAATACAACAGTTTATTTCTATCTGATCAGGCATGGGAAAATTTCAAATGCTTGCAAAGCAATTGGAAAGATTTCTAAATTGTGCTTCATCATGCAACACTACTCTGGTAAATTTAACATGAAAAGGATTGCAGTTTTAATGCAACTTACCATATGCATAGATACCCCTCAGAAGGTTCTCCTTCAAATTCATAGCATCAAAAGTATCATACACCTCATCATATGAGGTAAAGAAATCTTGTCCTTCAGTTGTGAGCCTGCACTCATCAAGTTAACAAATTCAACATTTTAGGTGTTGACAGCACCAGGCAATTAAGGATAAGCAGAAACCAATAAATTGTCTACAATATTCAAAAAGTATAATAGAAGCAGAACACGTTATAAACAACAAACCTCAGTAAACATATCATAGAAGAAAATAAAAACTTACAACTCATTCATCTTAGAATCAAATTGACGAGCATCGAACTGGGATCCTTCAGGTAACAGACCAGCCATGACTGCAAACAGTAAACAACATATAATTCAGTAACCCAATAAAATACTCGCCAAAAAGACTAAAACCCCAACAGTTATTCACCCCAAAAACCTTATAATCCAAGGTAAATCCTTTCTCACACTAAATTCGCACACAATCAACCAAAAGAACATACACAATAATCTAAATAATACCCAATTTTCCAATAAACCCAATAAAAAAACTAATCTTCATACTCCCAAAAACCCAAAGTACAATCATCAATCCAAATCGTTAAGCCCGCACAAAATCGTAACAAAATTACGATAAACAGCAACTGTTCACTAATCAAGAACAGATTTTGAACACTTTTCATAATTAATTATCAAGTAATTCCAAAAAACAAGGTCTTGAAAGAAGAAAACAGGAACAGAAAGCTACAGATCTGATTACAGGTAATAAAGAACAAGCACAAAAAGAGCAAGAAACATTAAAAACCAATGAGAGTGTCAGCTGTGCGAAACATTGAATCAAGAAACGAAATTACAAGGATTGATTACCTGAAAAAAGTGTATTTCGATTAGAGAAAAGAGATGGATGATTTGACTGAATTAGGGTTAGGGTTTGTTTTCCCCAAACTCCTCGGATCTTTTGCTGTTTGTTTTGGAGGAGTCTAAGGAACACTCTGTTGGTTTAGATGGTACTGTGAGGAAAGGAGTGAGAGACGGACTTGCTTAAATCATGAGGCAATTCGAGGGATTTTTTCCCCGTCTTCATCTTCGCCTTTTACTATTTTGCCCTTCTTCTTTTTCTTTTTTTCCCCTCTTTTAGGCTGTGGGCTTTGATGGGCTTAGGGCCCAACGTAATAGATCTTGTCTCACCTAAGGAACCATTCAAGTCAAATTTAATTATTTTCGGTCTGTAAACTTCAATTATCCATATCAAGGAGAATTTGAATTCCTTTTATTATTATTCATATTTTATGAATTTATTATTATTATTATTATTATTATTATTATTATTATGAGAGTGTTCATTTTTAGAAATAAAATTGAGACTCAAATTGAAACCTCGAGTCCTCTTGTTTATGCAAAGAGTATTATCGGGTTACAAAACTCAAGTAATTACAAGTATATATATATATATTTTAATGAAAGTATTATAGTTTTATTAGAAATTTGAACTCAAACTTGTAAAAACGGGATTAGACTACCTGTTCATTTTGTCTTAGATGAAAACTATTTTTTCTTTGCATTGCGTTGTGAATTGAGCAAAATAAGTGAAGTTATTTAACGATCGCTCTCTCTCTCTCTCTCTCTCTCTCTCTCTCTATATATATATAGTTTTTTAATCAAAATTTTGTATTTAACTAATTCCTTTTTATGTTTTTTATAATTTTTCTACTAAAAAATGATTACTCTTCTTTACATATAAATTCTTAAATTGATGTGTTATTTGGTAATTACGAATAGAGTGATGGAAATAAGAATACAAGAATTGTAATAAAAATTAAGGAATCTTAATGACATTTATATTTTCATACTATGTTTGGAATAACAATGAAAAATCGGAATACAATTGAAATTTTTTAATATCTAATTTTTTATACAAATAAAAATAATGATTAAAAAAATAATTTTATCAAACTATAACATTTTTAAAAATAATAAAGGTGAGAATGGTGGTGGTGGTGGTGGTGGCGGCTGTAGTGGTTGCGGGTGATAGCGGTAATGGTCGTGATAGAGGTGGTGGTATTTGTGATGGTTGTGGTGGTGGTGGTGATAATGGTGATTGTGATAGTTGCAGTAGTGGTTATGGTTGTAGTGACGGTGATGATGGTTATGGTGGTAATAGTAGTAAAAGTAGTTAATAGATAATAAATAAATAAAATATATTATTATTTTAAAAAAAATTCATTCCCATTCTTGTTTTTATTCTCACATATTATATGAGAATGAAGTTGTGTAAATTTTCATTTTTATTCTCACTATTCATTCCCATTTCCACCTCATTTCTTTTAACTAAACAATTACAATGTGGGAATAAAACTTTCATTATCATTTCCACTACTCGATTCCTAGTTACCAAACATCACTTTAAAGAAATTTCAATTAAAAAAAAAGGTTTAGGTGGTAAGATTGTGTTGAAAAAAATAATGTAACAAATAATATAAAAACTTGTATAAAAAATAACAAATAAAAATATTTTTGAATTTGATTTAATGTTGATGAGAAAATCAAAATTTGAAAGTATGTACATTTGATTTTTAAATATTTATTCATAAAAGAATAAATAATATTATAATAAAAAAATTATATTTGAATTATTGAGTGGTTATGGCAAAACATAATTTCAAATATTTTATTTAAAAAATAATTTTAAAATATCAATAAATAAATAACAAGTAAATGCTTAATGTTTTGGTAGTTACATAGTTAATTTTTAGTAAAACAAATGATTCAATAGTTTTATATACATCATAATTATACTAAGTGAATTCAAAGCCTCGCAATAAAAAAAAACATTAAAAAGGCATAATTAACTTGTAAAGAATATATTGAATAAATTTAAAGTTAATAGATAAAAATAAAAATTATCACAAAATTGATTTTAATAAATTTTGATTGTTTTGTTTTACGAGGAGTCTAAGGAACACTTTATTGGTTTAAATAGTACTGTGAGGAAAGGAGAGAGAGATGAACTTGCTTAAATTATGAGGCAATTCGAGGGATTTTTTCCCATCTTGATTTGTCCTTTTTACTATTTTGCCTTTTTTCTTTTCCTTTTTGTTTCTCTTTTAAGTCGTGGGCTTTGATGGGCTTAAGGCCTAGTGTAGTAGATCTTGTTTCACCCGAGGAATCATTCAAGTCAAATCTAGTTCTTTTCAGTTTGTGAAATTCAATTATCCATATAAAGGAGAATTTGAATTTATTTTATTGTTATTTTTATTTTGTGATTTTATTATTATTATTATTATTATTATGAGTGTTCATTTTTACAAAAAAAATTGAGATTCAAATTGAAACCTCGATCCTTTTGTTTATGCAAAGAATATTACCGAGTTACAAAACTCAAGTAATTACAAGTCTTTTTTTAATGAAAGTGTAATAGTTTTGTTAGAAATTTGAACCCAAACTTGTATGAACGGGATTGGACTACGAGTTCATTTTATCTTAGATGAAAACTATTTTTTCTCCGCATTGCGTTGTGAATTAAGCAAAACATGTGAAATTATTTGAAAAAATCAATCAATTTTGATGATTTGTGCTCGTACTCGTGTGTGTGTGTGTGTGTATATATATATATCTAATTTTATAGTTTTTAATCAAAATTTTGTATTGAATTAATTCCTTTTTATATTTTTCATAATTTTTGTACTAAAAAATGTCTACTCTTCTTTGTCCATAGATTCTTAAACCGAAAGAAATTCCAATAAAAAATTGTATTTGAATTATTGAGTGGTTATGCCAAAACATAATTTTAAATATTTTATTTAAAAATAATTTAAAAATATAAATAAATAAATAAATAGTAAATGCTTAGAGTTTTGGTTGTTGCATAGTTAATTTCTAGTAAAACTAATGATTCAATATTTTTATATACATTATAATTATACCGAGTGGATTCAAAGCCGCAATGTGAAACAAAAAACATTAAAAAGGCACAATTAACTTGTAAGAAATATATTGAATAAATTTGAAGTTAATATATGAAAATAAAAATTATCACAAAATTGATTTTAATAAATTTTGATTGTTCCATTTTGGAGGAGTCTAAGGAACACTCTGTTGGCTTAGATAGTACTACGAGGAAAGGAAAGAGACGGACTTGCTTAAATTATGAGGCAATTCGAGGAATTTTGTCCCCTGTCTTGGTTTTTCCCTTTTACTATTTTGCCTCTCTTCTTTTCCTTTTCCTTTTTTTTCCTCTTTTAGGTTGTAAGCATTGGTGGGCTTAGGGCCTAATGTCCCAATGTAGTAGATCTTGTTTCACCCGAGGAATCATTCAAGTCAAATCTTTTTTTTTCGGTTTGTAAAATTCAATTATCCGTATCAAGGAGAATTTGAATTCCTTTTATTATTATTGATATTTTGTGAATTTATTATTATTTTTATTAGTATAATTATTATGAAAGTGTTCATTTTTAGAAATAAATTTGAGACTCAAATTGAAGCCTCAATCCTCTTATTTATGCAAAGAGTATTACTCGGGTTACAAAACTCAAGTAATTAAAAGTCTTTTTTTTTTTTTTAATGAAAGTGTTATAGTTTGAACTCAAACTTGTAAGATAGGATTGGACTATGGGTTCATTTTATCTTAAATAAAAACTATTTTTTCTATGCATTGTGTTATGAATTGAGCAAAACAGGTGAAATTATTTGAAAAAATCATTCAATTTTGATGTTTCGTGCTATACTCTCTATGTATGTGCGTAAGTATATATATAATTTATAATTTTTTAATTAAAATTTTTTATTTAACTAATTCCTCTATATATTTTTCATAATTTTTCTACTAAAAAATGATTACTCTTCTTTATCCATAGATTCTTAAACCGAAAGAAATTTCAATAAAAAAAGCCTTAGTTGGTAAGATTGCGTTAAAAAAAAACAGATAATGTAAAAACATGTATAAAAATAACAAATAATTTTTGTTTATTTTGATTTTGATTTAATGTTGATCGGAAAATCAAATTTTGACGAGTATGTACATTTGATTTTTAAATATTTATTCACAAAAGAATCAATAATATTATAATAAAAGTTGTATTTGAATTATTGAGTAGTTATGCCAAAGCATAATTTCAAACATTTTATTTTAAAAAATAATTTCAAATATCAATACATAAATAACTAGTAAATGCTTAGAGTTTTGGTAGTTGCATAATTAATTTCTAGTAAAACCAACAATTCAATATTTTTACATACATCATAATTATACCGAGTGGATTCAAAGCCCGCAATCTAAAACAAAAAACATTAAAAAGACATAATTAACTTGTAAGGAATATATTAAATAAATTTAAAGTTAATAGATGAAT